TTGCAACTCTTTAGTACAAGGTTTGATATCCGCTAGCCTCATACTTCTAAGAATCATTGTCTTTAAAATTCCAACCTCAGTCTTGTAACTATGGTTGGGAAGAAAATTAAGCAAAGAGCAAACATATATTGGTTTCCTATAAACATCTCTTCCTAACTTACCCTTTTATCTGATGTTAAGAACATCCAGAACAAGTTAGAACTTATTCTCTTCCATTTCCATCGTGAACCTAATGTTTTTTTCATGCTGGTCGAGTGAATGTAGGAAATTATCTAAATTGTCCTTGCCATGATGACAGATGATAAAATAGTCATCCATGTATCTAACCGACAATTCAGGTGTTATTATTGCCTCTTGTAGGAAGTGTTCCTCAAATCTTGCCATATAATTGTTCGCTAAGATGAGAGACATGCAAGATCCCTTAGCTAATCCTTGTGTTTGTTCGTTTAACTTACCACAAAATGTAAAATATGTGGTATTCATGGATAGGCTAATAAGTCTAATAATACAAGCTACACTCACCCTTATTCCTTGTGTTATCTCCCGATGTTCCTCCAGAGTTTGTATAGTGCTTGAATAGCTCCTTAGGCAGGAATGTTTATGTATATAGACACAATGTCATAGCTTACTAGCTTAACGTCTTCTGAAATTTTCTGCTGATCTAGCAATTTCACAAAATCATACGAATTCCATTATCAGGCTTATTAGCTTATCCATAAATAGCATATATTTTACCTATACTAGTAAGTTAAACGAAAAAGCACAAAGATTAGCGAAGGTACTTTGCCTGTCTCCCATCTTAGCCAACAATTATATGGCAAGATTTGAGGAACAATTATTACAACAGGCAATACTAACACTCAAATTGTCGGTTAGATACATGGATGACTATTTTGTCATCTGTCCTCATGGTAGAATAATTTAGATAGTTTCCTACTTTCACCCAACCAGGCGTGAAAGGAACATTAGGTTCACGATGGAAATGGAAGAGAATAAGTCCTAACCTG